TGGTGGCATAGCTGTGTTTGAAGGGTGACCCTCCTATTCCCAGTTTCTTTTATATAAGACGTTTCTAATCGTGTTCGTCCCCTTTCCCAGATAATGTAGGTGACTATAAAATTAACGAGGCATGTATGACGATTATCGTACTTATCATTAATATCTCTCTTTTCGATACTCTTCTCTAACACCTCTAGCAACTTCTTTACTTATTTTACAGATCCGACGAAAAAGAAAGAAGTTATTCATAAATATAACGCACTACTCGACGTTCTTAAGAGTAAGGTTGAAATTGCATTTAAGCGCGGTCAGTCGGTAGGTAATTGGTCAGTCATTGGTGAAGTTATATATAGGATTTCTTGACTTAAAGTAGTATAACTACTTGATGTCTAGCATAAAATATTTGTAATTTTAATTTAGTGTAGGCTCCTATTAGACGCATAAATTTTATATAATTTGAATTCGGGTGGTTGTGTTCTTTCTCTCTCTTTATTTAGTGGAAATACTAAAATGTTTGTAATTATTTTTCGTAATTGGACTTTATTAAAAATAAAGGTGTTCAACTTTCAGTCTGAAGAAAGATTCATCCTGATTGATTGAAGAGTCTCGGTTACGTAGATTACTGATCATATTAGTGCGTCTTGGATTGAGGACTTGACTGTTATTTTAGCTTCTGTTACTCACAATGGGTTTAATTATTAATCATTTTCAATAGAGCTGTTGGAAAGACCAAAATATAGCTAATTTAAATCCATTGAAGGAAACGTCATCTTCAGGATATGTACAGTAATTGATAACTTGCGTTATGGAAATGTTGAAATGAAATTGACCCATTGTGGCTTTGACAAAATGCCGTCGATTTTATAATGGTTGGAAATGGTAATGCGCATCTTCATGCATCATATTTGTTGGGCAAATAGAGTAGATGTGAGTCTAGTATTTCGTAATATTATTGTTGAAAAAGCGAGTGCAAAAATTTTTTACCAGCTCGACGTAATGTGTACACTAAACTATCAGCATAGGTTGATTTATGAGCTTGGATGGTTTCATCTATTTGTTTAACTCTTTTTTACCAAGTATATTACGAGAACCTTTTCTTTCTCTTAAACCTTGGAAAAAACCTATGAGCTCGATCCGTTGCAAGTGGTTGTGATCTTGGAAAAAATCTATTCGATTAGGTCGTGACCCTAGAAAAAAAAATTTCGTCAATAGTTCGTGATCCTTGAAAAAAACAATCCAGTCTAGATGTTGTGTTCTTCGAAGAAGTCTATCTGATTTTATCGATCCTGTCAAGAGGACTTGTCCTTTGTCGAAGTTCGCAATTGATCATGATTCTTGGAAGAAAAGTTCATTTTTATCGATCCCACCAAATGGTCTTATTCCTTAAAAAAACACTATCTGAACTTATCGATCCCACAAAGAGACATTATCTTTGGCTGAGCAGTATGATATCATGTCTTAATATATAACCTTTTTTTATCATATACGTGTTTCACCATTTTTTTATCATGTCTACCTCTATTGCTTATTAACGAGAAACTGAAAATATTCATACGAAAAATACCTCGAGTTCTTCCCTGTGAAAAGTGGTCATTCCAGCAACAGTTATTTAAATGTTGAAAAAAAGAAGACAAATCATTCCTTTACAGTTCACTACATATATCATAAACAATATATTCACAACTAACAATAAAAAAGTAAGTATATTGGGAGAAAATTTTAGACGGATGGGCAATGCCAGGTGCTTGTACTCAAACAGTTCGTCTCGATGAGAAATATCTATTAATTCTTGAATAAGGATCGATTATGCTACTTACTAAAATCTGCTACTGGAATTTTCCTGCATCTGCCATCTAGTCTAATTTTTTTTTTTTTTGATATTCTTACTATGAAATGATATAGGTTGACATTAAGATCGTTCAGTTTTCTGAATAAGGTGATGCCATCACCATCACCATCACCATCATCACTGTAACCTAGAGATATATTAGGAAAGAGACAAAGTGTTGATATTATTGAGCCATTGCCGATGAGAAAAGCAAGGCGTGCTAATAGTATAGTGATCTGATGATCAAAAAAAAATGTGCTTCACCCCATCGCTGTAATTGAAATAATGAGAACAGGATCAATCCCGAAACTCAGTAACATTTTGAGCAAGAATGTGGTGCATTACATGAGAGGCTAAATGTAGTTCACCTTTGGCACGATAAAGACTTTGCAAATGTTCAGACTGAAGAATATTTCGAAATTATAGATGAGTCAATTTTCCTTTTTTAATTCTTTCCACTAATTAAACTTTCTCAGTTTATATCGTATTGAAAACATCTGAAACATCTGACCAACATTCTGTTTCTAACGAATATTTGGTTCAATTAAAATAGAAAATGATGTTTGTAAAGTTCAAAAATATTCACCCTTTTATTGTAAAAACTTCTATTGTACATTTTAATCTTTAATCTTTTTATCTAGAAAAACTTTTATTTCTAATTTTTATTAATACTTTTGAACGCTTTTATTTATTAATATTATGTATTCAGAAATTCCTGTAAGAAAACGGATAAAAAGTAATTTAGCAAGTATATGCGAATTATTTTCATTACGTTTGCATAAATGAAAATTAACTTTTTCAAAAGATTTTTGAAAAAATGGAAATAATAATTAATCTAATTTAATAAAAACAAAAAATAATTCAAGCTTAGGGTTGGAATTACGTGAAATTAACCAATTAGCTTAATTCTTTTCGACAAAATATAATGAATTATTTTGTATTCTAAAATATTTCAATAATTAATAATTTACATTTTTGTATGCTAATTAATCTATACGAAATCATTTGGCGTTTTCTGTTTCAAAGCAGACTGTTTAGTCATTCCGAATTCATTCTACACTTCTAATCATTATAAAATAAATTTATATTCGAACTTTTCGTTTCCAAATTTGAGTACTATTTGATTTATTTGAATTTTCATAAATTCCAATTCAGAAAAAAAAAAATGTTAATCATTGCTCTGGTTTGGAACATATTCGAACTCGAGTACAACAATATTTTTAGAACTCGAATTCGAGTTTATATACTTATTGCATTGTAGAATTGCGAATTTTGCTTTGGAAGGTAACATAATTTATTTTGTTTTTTCTGATATAGTACTTCAGACCCAACTCAATTACATTCGAAAAAAATTTTTATCGTTATTTACTACGGGAATCACTAGTGACTAAATTCACGATATTTCATGTAACGCAAGTTCAGATGCAATCAATCAATTAATTATAACAAATAAGAAATTATCACCATAGGTCTTTTCTCATATCGATGCATTGTTGCATTCTTCGCTTCATGCATAGTTTACCAATTCGCTTTTTGTAACCTTCGTGCATAAGACTTTGGATCATTTCCGGGAATTCCACTAAATCGGCGCGACATCAGTATTGTTCCGGTGTGTATAATTCTACGTTCTCATTATATTGCATGCTTATAATAAATAAATTAAAAACGATAACGATACATTTAAATTGATGAAATCAATAATTATTAAGAATTATAAACGGATTGTTTACTCAGTCAGTTTTAACTTACATAAAGTATTTCGTTAAGAAAACTTATAAGATAAGGAACGTATTATCACATCCTTAATTGCAAGCTCCCAACTACCATAGCACTGCACCATCGACGAGCGTCTATTATGACCCAGCAAGAAGACTTTTCCTAAAAGAAATAAAATTTGGGATAATTTCACAATGAATGTATTGAAACAAACGTACAATACGACAGAAATTAAAAAAAAACTTACCTCTAGTATAAAATGTAAATATATCCCGAATAGAAACATATACTTGAAACACAAAGCATCATTCATATTCTTTCTATTATAAACTTATTCAGAACTGACAGGTTATTCAAAAGGTGTATTCGACTCAAAATTTGTTGTCTATAATCTTAATTAAATGAATAAAATCTAAAACCAGAGCGTTACAAATCACATGAATCTATTATAAATTACAAGTATATTATAATCACTCATAAATATTCATCACGATCAAAAGATTTTTTTTAAAAAAAAAAGTACCATCCCAAAACTGCACAAATAAGAAAATCTTACTATCTATCCACCTTTTTTTTTTTTTTTTTTAGCATAAAAAACTAAAAACGAAAGTGGAACGAACTTTATTAATTGAGCGAAATATTGTTTACTCTTTGAACAAACCTTTAACGACGAGACAGCAACATACAAAAATGACACCAACAATTATGATAACGAATATGACTACGATGATGACAACGACGTCGATAACTATAGCGATATGTAAACTTTTTAAAGGGAATTATCCACGGTAGCTGCAGAACTTAAAAGTAGATATGCTTATACCTAATGCGTTAATTATTCAAGAGTCAATACTTAGAGTTCCGGACTTTCTAATCAAACAAATAATTCTTTTTATTTAATTCGTTCTCATTTCTTTATTTATGAATCGCCTAATTATTCTTTCTTTAATTAATTGTTCATCGGATTAAATATATGACAAATGTTTTTGAGTAAGCAAGTATACTAAATTGTAAAAAATACTTACATAATCATTTTTGGACAAATATGATAAATCCATTAGAAAACGACAAAAATTACAGATCTACTCGGTAAAGTTACAGTACCTAAGGGGGATCTTGGCATTGACGTCATTTTTGTTATTTACGAATGACGTAAATGTGATCGTCGATGATTGTTCATTGGCCAATTTTTTGTTTCTTTGAAATAAATAGAGGATCTCGCAACTTCATTTTACCTTTATTCCAACTTTTCTTTACTTTTTGGTGGGTATCGTTTTCATTTTTTCTTTTTAAAAAAAAAGAAGTAAACCAAATAATAACTTACATTTTATTATTTCAAGGAATCTTTTAAACGATGACTCGGAAAACACGACAGGTTCGCGTTCAAGGTGTCACTCGTGCTGTTGTCGCGCCAAGGCGACGACCTATTTCTTCAACTTCCCTTTCCTCTAACTCCCCTTCAGTTCCCTCTTCTTCTGCCCCTTTAGCAGCTGTATCTTCTTCTCCTTCCCCTTCTTCTGCAGCTGCTTCTTCTTCTCTTTCTTCACTTTCTTCCGATTTTTCTTCCTCGTCTTCGTCCTCTTCTTCATCCCCTAATTTACCTCCTACTAATACTTCTCCTTTAGCTTTTTACCCCCATTCTCCTTCATTTCCCGTTTCTTCTTCTACTTCTTCTCCCACTTCTTCGATTTCCTCTACTCCTCCTTCACCTTTTCCTTCTCCTATTCCCGCATCTTTTTTTGTTCCTCCTCCAATTCCTCCCGCTATTTCACTTCCTCCTTCTCTTCCTAATACTAGATTTTATCGTTCTCCTCCTTCC